GTTGCGACTTGTTTCCATTGTGTTGTGCTAATTTTGTTGTGTTGTAGCTTGTTTTCGTTTTGTTGTGCTAATTTCATTGTGTTGTACTAATTTTGTTGTGTTGGGCTAATTTTGTTGTGTTGCGACTTGTTTCCATTGTGTTGTACTAATTTTGTTGTTTTCGGCTAATTTTGTTATGTTGTGGTTGTTTTCGTTGTGTTGTGCTAACTTTGTTGTGTTGTGACTTGTTTCCGTTTCGTTGTGCTAATTTCATTTTGTGTTGCTAATTTAGTTGTGTTGTGGCTTTTTTTCTGGCATGTTGTGAAAATTTCGTTGTGTTGGGCTAATTTTGTTGTGTTGTGGCTTGTTTCCGTTTTGTTGTGCTAATTTCGTTTTGTTTTGCTAATTTCGTTGTGTTGTGACTTTTTTTCCGGCTTGTGCTAATTTCGTTGTGTTGGGCTAATTTTGTTGTGTTGTGCTAATTTTGTTGTGGCTTGTTTCCGTTTTGTTGTGCTAATTTCGTTTTGTTTTGCTAATTTCGTTGTGTTGTGACTTTTTTTCCGGCTTGTTGTGCTAATTTCGTTGTGTTGGGCTAATTTTGTTGTGTTGTGCTAATTTTGTTGTGGCTTGTTTCCGTTTTGTTGTGCTAATTTCGTTTTGTTTTGCTAATTTCGTTGTGTTGTGACTTTTTTTCCGGCTTGTTGTGCTAATTTCGTTGTGTTGGGCTAATTTTGTTGTGTTGTGCTAATTTTGTTGTGGCTTGTTTCCGTTTTGTTGTGCTAATTTCGTTTTGTTTTGCTAATTTCGTTGTGTTGTGACTTTTTTTCCGGCTTGTTGTGCTAATTTCGTTGTGTTGGGCTAATTTTGTTGTGTTGTGCTAATTTTGTTGTGGCTTGTTTCCGTTTTGTTGTGCTAATTTCGTTTTGTTTTGCTAATTTCGTTGTGTTGTGACTTTTTTTCCGGCTTGTTGTGCTAATTTCGTTGTGTTGGGCTAATTTTGTTGTGTTGTGCTAATTTTGTTGTGGCTTGTTTCCGTTTTGTTGTGCTAATTTCGTTTTGTTTTGCTAATTTCGTTGTGTTGTGACTTTTTTTCCGGCTTGTTGTGCTAATTTCGTTGTGTTGGGCTAATTTTGTTGTGTTGTGCTAATTTTGTTGTGGCTTGTTTCCGTTTTGTTGTGCTAATTTCGTTTTGTTTTGCTAATTTCGTTGTGTTGTGACTTTTTTTCCGGCTTGTTGTGCTAATTTCGTTGTGTTGGGCTAATTTTGTTGTGTTGTGCTAATTTTGTTGTGGCTTGTTTCCGTTTTGTTGTGCTAATTTCGTTTTGTTTTGCTAATTTCGTTGTGTTGTGACTTTTTTTCCGGCTTGTTGTGCTAATTTCGTTGTGTTGGGCTAATTTTGTTGTGTTGTGCTAATTTTGTTGTGGCTTGTTTCCGTTTTGTTGTGCTAATTTCGTTTTGTTTTGCTAATTTCGTTGTGTTGTGACTTTTTTTCCGGCTTGTTGTGCTAATTTCGTTGTGTTGGGCTAATTTTGTTGTGTTGTGCTAATTTTGTTGTGGCTTGTTTCCGTTTTGTTGTGCTAATTTCGTTTTGTTTTGCTAATTTCGTTGTGTTGTGACTTTTTTTCCGGCTTGTTGTGCTAATTTCGTTGTGTTGGGCTAATTTTGTTGTGTTGTGCTAATTTTGTTGTGGCTTGTTTCCGTTTTGTTGTGCTAATTTCGTTTTGTTTTGCTAATTTCGTTGTGTTGTGACTTTTTTTCCGGCTTGTTGTGCTAATTTCGTTGTGTTGGGCTAATTTTGTTGTGTTGTGCTAATTTTGTTGTGGCTTGTTTCCGTTTTGTTGTGCTAATTTCGTTTTGTTTTGCTAATTTCGTTGTGTTG